CGACAGCCCCAACTAGCGTACCACTCATGCGCACGAAGCACCTGGGGCGAAGGAGGACACGGCAGCTGCACCTGTCCACTACCAGAAGCTCCCGACCGATCCACTCCAGAGCGACTACCACTACGGCCACCCCGACAGCCCCAACTAGCGTACCACTCACGCGCACGAAGCACCTGGGGCGAAGGAGGACACGGCAGCTGCACCTGTCCACTACCAGAAGCTCCCGACCGACCCACTCCAGAGCGACCACCACTACGGCCACCCCGACAGCCCCGACTAGTGTACCACTCACGCGCACGAAGCTGCTGGGGCGTGAGGGACTCACGCGCACGGCCCTGGAGCTGCATCTGGCCACGCCAGGAGCAGCAGTAGTAGCAGTAGCGGCAGCAGTGGGAGTAGAAAAGGCAGTAGCAGCAGTAGCAGCGGTAGCAGTGCTGGGCAATGCTCACCAGTGGTCGGCGCGGCAGGCGCAAGACGGTGGCGACAGCGGGGCCGCTACAACTGCAGGGCTGGGCCGGGCCGTAGCAGGGAGCTCCGCGGCAGCTGCTGCAGGGCGAGGCCGGGCCGCGACGGCAGCTGCTCCAGGTGCCAGGGGCGGCTGCTGCAGTGGCGGCGGCTCCAGGGGCCAGGGGCGGCTGCTGCAGCTGTGGTTGCTCCAGGGGCCAGGGGCAGCTGCTGCAGGTGCGGGCTGCTCCAGGGGCGGCTGCTGCAGGTACGTGCTGCTCCAGAGGGGGCCGCTGCAGTGGCAGGCGGCTCCAGGGGCGGCTGCTGCAGTGGCGAGCGGCTCCAGGGGCTGCTGCTGCAGTGGCGGGCGGCTCCAGGGGCTGCTACTGCAGTGGCGGGCGGCTCCAGGGGCTGCTGCTGCAGTGGCGGCTGCTCCAGGGGCTGCTGCTGCAGTGGCGGCTGCTCCAGGGGCGAGAGGCGGATTAGGTCAGGGCGACGCGGCGAGAAGGGCGACGCGGCGGGCAGGTGGCGACGCGGCGGGCAGGTGGCGACGCGGCGGGCAGGTGGCGACGCCGCGGGCAGGGCGACGCGGCGGGCAGGTGGCGACGCCGCGGGCAGGTCGACGCGGCGGGCAGGTGGCGACGCCGCGGGCAGGGCGACGCGGCGGGCAGGGGACGACGCCGCGGGCAGGCGACGACGTCGCGGGCAGGCGACGACGCCGCGGGCAGGCGACGACGCCGCAGGCAGGCGACGACGCCGCGAGCAGGCGACGACGCCGCGGGCAGGCGCCGATGTCGCGGGCAGGCGACGACGCCGCGGGCAGGCGACGACGTCGCGGGCAGGCGACGACGCCGCGGGCAGGCGACGGCGCCGCGGGCAGGCGACGGCGCCGCGGGCAGGCGACGCCGCGGACATGGGCTACGTCGCGGGCAGGCGACGACGCCGCGGGGAGGCGGTGACGCCACGGGCAGGGCGACGCGGCGGGCGGCGAGAGCCTGCAGGGGCGGCGTGCGGTCGTGCAGAGGCTGCGCACTGGCCTGACGGACCTGCAGGGGCAGCTCGAGAGTGCACGAGGGCGCACGAGGGCGTACGAGGGCGCACGAGGGCGCACGAGGGCGCACGAGGGCGCACGTAAGGTAGAGCGCACAAGGGCGCAGAGGGGGAGGCGCTAACGCAGCACTCCGACAGTAGGGCGCACTAAGGCGCTAGGAAGTAGTTAGTAGAGGTGGGCCCGAAAAAAAAACTTAGGTCCTAGCGAAGGACCTGCTCTGAAACCATGTCAGAATAACTGAACTATGAATGGATGAACTAGCAGGAAGGTGGGTACAAGTATGAAACCCTAAGTTTGTGTACCCTCTAAGGCTAGACCCACTATAGCCTACACAATATAAACATACAATGTTTGACATGATGCAGCTGTGCATTGGTGCGTGTGGTGTGGCATGGTGTGCACAGTCAGGGTGTTTCAAGAGTGTCAGAGCAGTCGCGCAGAGGGGGTAACGAGGAGAGCAACGACTGCAGCAACCGAGCACCCTGGAGCACCCTGGAGCACCCTGGGTTTCAGCAACCTGGAGCACCTAACCTGGACAACCTAACCTGGAGCACTGTCAGCAGCAACAGCAGTGGTACGTGCCAGGGGGTGCTTGCAGGGGGGCAGTGAAGTGAGTCGTAGAGCGTCGCCGCGCAGAGGCAAGAGTCGTGTCTCTTGCCCTTGCTTCCTCCACCGCTCGCCTTTTGCTGCTTCTAACCCTTCCCTTCTGGTGCCGCGTCTGTGTCTGTTGTGTGCGTCTCTCCCTGTGCGTGTGTGTGCCTCACTGCCTGCAAGGCAAAGGACAGGGAGGGGACGGTGGTTCACATGCGTGTGGGCTTCGTTCCTGGCCGACTCATGGGAGCAGCAGTAGCAATGGCTCCTTGAATCTCCAACCAAGTATCTTCTCCACCAAACTCTTTTCCTTTTGCGTTGCCAAATTAGATGCTCTGCATCACTTGTACTGCATGTTCTTTCTGCTTTTTCCTCTGAAATCTTGCCACTGCTGCACGCATTTCTTCTCAGCCCTCAAACCCTTCCTGTCATGCCCTCTCGTCTTCTCTGCACTCCCTTCTTTCATCATCAGAAGTGAATCACCTTTCATCCAGAGCCGAGGGAACAGCAGCAGCAGTGGAGGGGTGAGCGGCAGTGAAGGGCACCAAACTTGGGCAGAACCTGGGGCGGCAGCGGTGGCACTGGGGGCAGCGTCAGCTGCGACGACAATCACAGCTGCCATTGTTTGCAGCTCCTATGAGTAAGTACACTTTACGTATGAGTGCATCCGAGCTCGCTGTATGTGTTGGTTGGTTGGTTATTATCGCCTGCAATCTTCTCCAGGTTCTCATCCCATGCCTTACTCGTCTATTGTCATCCTTGACCTTGTGTGGTTCCTTCTCTTCTCTTCTTGCCACCCTTTTCTTCCTTTTCTTTTCTTCTATGCACGGAACCACCTGAATGAGTTGCAATAGCACTTAATGGAGGATAACAAGTTTCGCATTAAGCATCGCTGACGCCTCGCCCCGTCGCCTTCTCTTCTTTGCGTGAATCAGGGCGCCGTATGGTGGTGGGCCATTGTGAGCGTTCCTTCTTACAAGGCCAAGGCAACATCAGAGCTGAGGATGGGCCTCTGGCTACTGCTGCTCTCCTTGCTGTTCTGTGCTGCATGTGTAGCTATGCTTAGGTGTGCTTGAATGTGCTGTGTGTTGCGCTGTGCTGTGCTGCATGTGTCTGCATGATATTGAATAGGTGGGTGGGGTGGGTGTGCGTGCAGCCTGGAAGGCGCCTGGGCCCATGCAGGGCAGAGCGTCCTCCTGCAGGTGCTGTGCGTGCCATGATGACTTGGCTGATGACTGGCACGGGGAGGACTTGGCTGCTACCGGCCAATCGACAGTGAGTGAGGTTCCACCACATGGCAGGGCACACGCACACAGTGCTGAGTGAGAGTGAGGGGAAGCGCACACAGCCTTGATGGGGTCAAAGTGACGGTCCAGACTCCAGAGCACCCACGCGGTGAAGCATACAAGCCATTGCGAGTAGGGTTGGCTCTCGCCCCAGGAAGTGCTGGCATTGGCAGGGTATTGTCGGTGTGACAACAGCAGACACATTACATCAGGCACAACAGCCATGCCATGCCACGCTAACACCTACAGCAAGAGTGTGAGAGGTGCCAGTGCCCAAACTGTCAGTTACAGCATTACTCAATGCTCATGCCCAGCCGTGCAGCTTCTTTGGCAATTTTTTTTTGTCCTGTTGGCCGTGCCACATCTGCATCGTGTTTAGTTGTGTGGGTAATATCACTACCTCGTCCCGTGCTACATCCGCACCTTCAGCAATTTCACACCATAAACCTGCAATAGCACCATCCAATCGCCAAAGAAATGTACCAAATTCATTGTCTGGTCACTCTGCTTCTCTGCTCTTGCTTCTGCCTGAATGCACAAAGAACTCATCCCAATCACCTGCACCATGGCACTAACAGGTACCTCATCTTACTATTAGCTATGCACGCATACTCTAAGCATGGCTACAGGCAGTTGCCAATGCTGCCGGTCAGCATCAACAAGAATCTCCAGACCCCACAACGTGCCACCCTACAGTTATCCATACTCTTGCCTCCTATTGCGCAATCTGCCTCTCATCCTGTAGCAACCGCTCCCGTGCAGCCTTGACTGGTGACCTGCTTTTCACTTGTCGACCACTACTTGACACTGGGTAAAAGACGCCCCCTCTTTACCATCCACCCCTTGCCCTGGCCCCAGCACCGGCCTGCTGCTGAGTGAGGCACACTTGGTGCTCCACACAGCATGCCTTCCCTCACCGTCCCCACGCTCTTCAGGGCAACACCCCATCCATGAGCCAACTTCTCCTTCCAGCCTTTCCGAGTCATGGCTCACGCGTGCGTGAGCAGTGCAGCGTCTCCAGGGTCCAAGTCGCCTTTTGGTGTTCCGCCTTTCATCCAACCCACCAGGGCTCTGCGACTCGCCGTGATCTGGGGCAGAATTGGTCACATCACACTTGCTCGTGAAGCAACCTTTCGAGGGCCGCAACATCAGCAACAAAAGTGGAGCAAACATCCGACTCAGTGATATCCTTGACTAAGTCGGTCCTCATTCTCCACCCCTCCTCCCTCCGCTTCTTGTGCCGCACGAAAAATCACCAGATCACACGCATGGTACATAAAAGGGGTCAGATCGACTCTGGAACAGGAGCGCAGACACAAACCGACGAGACGGGGGAGAAATAGAAGCAGCGTAAGACAGAAATACACCTCCTTCTTTCTTGGACTGCCAGCATACGCTGACGAAGGCACTAAAGTTGTCAGAACGAGAGCTGAGAGCCGCCTCAGCAGAGTCTCGCCTCCTCTTTCCAGTCTTACCCTCCTGTCATTACTTCTCGTATGCTCGATACGACCCAGCCAATCCTAGCGCATTTAGGCAATAAGCCAACCGTCCAGTCATAATACCTTGCGTCCCATCCCAATCATTCCATCCGATCCCATCCATCCCATCACAGCAGATGACACATGGCATCACATCACGGGCACAGAGAGCCCCCCAAAGCCTTCTCCTCCCGCCCTTCCCATGCGAACCGCGGCCATGCCCGGCCTGCCGCCCTTGGAGCTTCTGGAGAACAGCCGGTACTCGTTCTCTCCGCCGCCCGCCGGCCCGGTGCCAGTCCACGCCGTGTGGCTGCGAGGGCAAGCGTTGCTCGCCACTGGCGGTGCCTCGTGAACAGGGGCGCTTTCGCGGGGCAGCACGGGGAAGTGGAAGAGCGAGAAGTCGCCAGAGGAGCGGCGCTCGTGCAGGACCGGCGGGTGGTGTTGGATGCATGAACGGATCGTGGCGCCGCACTGAACAGTGTTGCGAGACGCACCTCCGACACTTGCAGAGCGCTCAAGAGCAGCCCCGTCACTCGCACGGGCTTGTGCCTCCCCCCAAACCCACGGCTCGGGGTCACCCAACCCGTCAAGCCTGGCAAAGCCAGCGGCCATGGCTCCTTGGATGGGCGCTCGCGCCACAACGGGTTTCTCGTCGCTTGCTCTGACGTCATCTCCCTCGCTGATGACGTGGACGTCGCCAAGTTGGCGCCAGCTGTGGTTTGCGAGGTCGTACAGGGCCTCCTTGTAGTCCGGCTGCACTGGCGGGTTGGACGACGCCAGGGCGGCAGCCATGGGCGACTCGGCGGCCCAGTACGCATCTTCCTCCCTCTCGTAATCCGCCGCGTCCTTGACTCGCGGCGCGCACGAGGTCATGTGGCTGAGGTCCACCTCCTTCAGCACCGCGTCCTTCGCATCCACGTGTCCTTGGCCGTCCCGCTGCCACGGACCGCGTGGCGTGGCAGCGGGATCCGAAGCTGTGCTCGGACTCATGCTCGCGACGGATACAGGACACAGTCGCAGACCGATTGTGTGCGCGCTCGGCTTTATCGAGGTCTAGCGCTACCGTCCGTGGTTGAGATCGGTTGAAATGGTTGTAAAATCCTGGTCAGGCATGAAGGTAAGGCCAGCTGAAATCCGGTCTGATCAGAAGATAAATCGTCATCCAGGATTGTTTCACAAGAGGAACAAAACCGTCAACGATTCGCGGGTTTAGTAGCTGAGAGAGAAAAGAAGTCAGATTGATAAAGCGCTTCGGATGAAGTCCAATGGATGTTGCAACTGATGTGAGGTGGATCAGGCAACTCAAAAGAAAATGGGAGAGGGTTTGAGTTGAGATAGGAGAAAGATGGATGGGTGATGGCAGATACCTACAGTTCCCCCAGTGTGAGTCCAAGGTGTTTGCGTGCGTACTGCTGGCATTTGCCTCATTTTCCCGGCTTGTGATTCCAGAGAATCCGCAGTTATGTGGAATTTGAATGTTCTAGTTTGAAATTCGAACAGCCAAAGTGATCAATCAAACTGGGATTGACGGACGGATCGACTGGTGAAGAAGCGCGAGCCCTGTGAGCGACACGTGCCCGTACTCGCGACCAGCGTGGCATTGCGCGAATCCCGTGGGAGAAGTGGACACTTGGCGACAACTGTTCATGCTCACTTCTCCAGCTACACCTGTCCTGCGATAATTCCACACCCCCTATCTTCACGCCCTGGGGTACCTACCCTTGTAAGAATCTGATTTCAAAGGTAGTTAGAAACGATCTCGAGAGTTTCGAGGGTAAAAAGACACGACCTCAACCCGAGCTTAACACTCTTACCTTTATGGAACTGAGAATTTTCCCCGCTAACTCTGATTACAAATCTGAGTTTCGAATGGCCAGAACCTGAGTGTTCATTACTGACAGACCCGTAATGTCAGGGTGTCCGTCTCATCGATCCTCAAGCCGTATAGGGTGTCTGGCAAAAACGAGGGTAGGGGGGTGTGAAAATACCGGAGAACAGGTGTATTGGTGGGAGCCGCAGCTTTTCCAATTTCATCGCGAGGGGGAACGCACAGATGCGTTTTTCGTTCACGCTTCGAATGCTCGGAGATCAAGCTGACAACTTCCGATTGGCTAATCTTCATTATCCGCTGCGCGATTGCGATAATGATCGGCCAAGAGTGGATAGGGCAGCTGGATCGGACTGGCTGTCAAACGCTAACTACACCCACTATAAGGTGGCTTCACAAGAACCCAGTGAATCATTATGTAAGCTTGACAAGGGTTAGAGATACATGAAACCAATTAGTAAGTCAGTCAGGCAGACACGTGAAGAAAAAATTACCGTACCTGGAGCGTTTCCAGGAAACAGGGTACCGGAGTGAAAAAAGTGGGAACAATAACCAGACACTGGTATGCGAGGGAGCATGGATACCGGTAGCAGAGCGAGGGAAAGTGCAAGTGGGAGATGACAGGTGTACTCAATTCAGCATAGCTGAAAATGGTTGAGCAGAGTGCCACGGGTTGTAGTCACCTTGACGTAGGTAAATCACCAGTAGGATACACTGTTTCGGTTCGCTGAAACTGCACCATCCTACTTCTCCTTGTAGCTCCTGCCACCCTTTTCCCTGTCACGGTTCTGCTCCTTCCCTTTCTCCAGGCCCTTGGCCTTATCACGGCTCTTCTCCTTGTCCTTGCCGTCCTTGTACCAATCTCTGTCTCTTTCTTCCCTGTCCCTATCCCGGTCACGTGTCCTCTCGCCTTTGTGCCTGGAACTTTCTCTCCCTTTCTCCCGGTTCCTCTCTCTCTCTCTTTCTCTCTCGTTATCCCTGTCCCTCTCTTTATCTCTTTCTCTATCCCTATCCCTATCCCTGTCCTTATCCCTATCCCTGTCCTTATCCCTGTCCCTGTCTCTCTCCTTATCCCTGTCCCTGTCTCTCTCCTTATCCCTGTCCCTTTCTTTATCTCTTTCTCTATCCTTATCCCTGTCCCTGTCTCTCTCCCTATCCCTGTCCCTACCTTTGTCTCTCTCCCTCTCCTTATCCCTGTCTCTGTCTCGGTCCTTACCCCTCTCTCGAACTTTCTCTCTTCCTTTCTCCTTATCGCGATTCTTTTCCCTTTCTTTATCTCTCACCTTCCCCTTACCACCACCATCCTCCACCATTGATTGAGCTTCAGCTTTCGAACCTCTGCTTCGCTCCCTATCATCCTCCTTATCCCACTTCCCTTCCCGCTCTCCTTCCCAATCTCTCTCTTCATACCTCTCCTGGCGTCTCTCTCTTGTCTTACCACTGTCTCGTTCCCTTCGTCTCTCCCTGTCCCCACCGCTCTCACGTGCCTGATCAGAATCCTTCCTTCGGCTCTGCTGCTCCCTCTCCTTGCGTTTCTCATTCCTCCTTGCCTCATCCCGCTCACGGCTCCTTTCTCGATCACTGCTTCTCTCCCTATCCTTGTGTCCATGCCTCTCTTTACTCCTTGCCCTGGTGCGCTCATGCCGCTCTCGCTCCCTCTCGCTGCCCCTCTCATGCTTGCTATCTCTCTCCCTCTCCCTCGCCCGCTCCTTCCCATGCTCTCTGTGCCTGTTTGGCTCAAAATACGTGTCTCTGCTCTTTGATCCTCGCTTCTCCTTGTGCCTACTCGAGCTGTCACTGTGCCTGCTGTCCCGTTCTTGACTTCTATCCCTGTGCTTGGACTTTGGCTTCTCACTTTCCCTGGACCGATATCTTTCTTTCTCTCGTTCCTCCCTACCCCTCTCCAGCTCTCGGTTCCTCCCTCCTTCTTTCTCTCTCGCCCCGTCTCGATCCCGATCCCTCCTAGCCCTCTCGTTCTCTCGGTCCCTCTCTCTGTATCTATCCCTATCGTCATCCCAATTTCTGTCATCCTCCCTCACTCTGTCTCCGTTGCACTTAGCCCGGTCACTATCTCTCTCCCTCTTACTCCCCCTCTCGCCCTCCCACAGCTCACCGCCTACTCCATCCCCATCACTCTCACTCCACCCATCCGAACCCTCCTCATTCTCACTGTTATCTAAATCACTGATCGAGACACTCCTCTCTCTCCGCATGCCCACCAACACATCCGTGCCCACTCGCGCACCCCCGTCACTCTCCTCCTCCTCATCCCGTCCCCAAGCCGCCTCTGACCCTGAGCTGGAGCCACGCCCATCACTCCACTCACTATACACATCCTCCTCCTCCTCACCCTGCGCCGCCTCTTCATCGCTCCCCTCCATACTCTCCTCCCACTCGCTCCCCGACCGCCTCTCACCGCCCCTCCTTCCACTGCCCTCGCTGTCCCTCTCTTCCTGCTGCCCCCTCGCCCCCCCCTGCATGGGCAGCATGCCTTCGCGCCGCATCACCAGCGCAATGCCCTCGCCCATGCCATCCCCCGCCTCCATACCATCGTCCCTCGCCCAGCTCACGCACGGCGACTCAAGGGGCGACGCTGAGTCAGCAGAGCCAGCAGACGTGTCCCGGCTCATGGCGGCTTGTACAGTGTTGAGGCTGATGCTGCGCGCTGCATGCACCTCACTCTCCCCTCTCATGCGCCCCACCCCTCCTGCCCCCATCACCAGTGCTGCAGCAACAGGCGCATCCTGTGACCTCTGCCGCAGCAGCTGTTTCCTTCTCTCCGATCGCACCCTCTCGCTCCCACTACCGCCCACAACCATGCCGCTGCTGCCCCTTGCGGCAGAGGTGGCGCCTACAGGCATGCCCGGTATCTCTGCTGCGCGCTGCAGCTCTCGAACTCCGCGTACCTCTCGCTCTCTCCTCCCTCCCTTCTCCACTCGCTCCCTATCCCGCCTCCTTGCAACACCATGCCCTTCCCCTGTGTTGTACATCCAAGCACCATCCACACTACCACCACCTGCCATCCTAGAAACACCATCCCCGGTCCCTTGCCCGTTCTCAAAGCTGTATCTCCGAGATAAGTAACCCGAGCCGTCGCCTTCCCACTGCTGCCCATTACCGTACTCTCCTGCAGGTCCTGCTATGTACTGCTCGCCTTCGTACTCATCCACAGCATCCCCACTCGCATACATATCACCACTCGGCACCGCTTCGTACTGCTGCATGCTGCGCGAGTGCGGCAGGGCCGACCGCACGCCTTGCCCCATGTGCCCCGTCGCCTGCCCCCGATGGAAAGACCGGTACGAGCTCACCCCATGGTTTTCCGCCGCATACCCCATAGCGTACCCACCCCCTTCGCCGGCGCCGCTGCTGCCAGGGTCAGTGGGCAGGTGGTGATATCCCCCATGGCTGTAGTCGTGCTGGTGGTGGTGTGGGTGGAGGGGCGAGAGCGGGAAGGCGGAGTCAGGCGCGGGGTAGAGCGGGCGACAGAAGGCCTGGTCGTCTGGTATAAGCCCTGTGCCTGACCCGTACGATTCATACGACCCTGCCATGCCACTGTTTGTTGCAACAGCGGGCGGGGGATTGTAGGGCATTGCGAGAGTGATGCTGCCAGGCGCACGGGAAGCGGCCAAGGAGGATGGAGGCGCGGCAGCAGCGGTGGCGGATGCGGTGCGATGGAGAGGCGACCGCATGTGGCCCCCCGGGAGCGCTGCTCCCCCAGAGCCTGCCGGCTGCCCCACGCCGCCCCCAAAGCTCACACTGCTCTTCAGGCGCGGCTCGCTGCGAGGGGACTTGGGGAAGGAGGGCGTGGGGCCATGGCGCGGCAGCATGGGCGAGTGGAAGTCGGGATGAGCGGGGAAGGCGTGGGAGAAAGCGGAGATGTGGTGATGCGGGGAGAGAGGCAAGGGGGAGGGCTGGGGGGAGGCGAAGGGCTGCGATTGGTCGAACATGGGAGGCTGGGAGGAAGGCAAGGAGGTGAGTGGAGGGTGCGAGTAGCGAGAGGCTGGACTGGGGGATCGAGAGAGGGGCGATGTTGGACGGAAGGCATGGGGATGGGTGAGCGGGCCGGCAAGCGAGCGAGGGGAAAGAGGGTGAGGAGAGACAGGGTTGGCAAGATGAGCGTTGTGAGTGGTGTGCAGCATGGCTTGCTGGCCTTGCCCCCCTAGCCCCCCTTGTCCCCCCATGTATCCACTCCCAGAGTTCCATGCTTTGCTGCCTGCCTGGCTGCCACTGCCACTGCCGCTGCCACTACTCCCACTCACACTGCTGCTACTCGTGCTACTCCCTGGGATGCTACTGCCGCTGCAAGTGCTGCTGGTGCTGCTACTGCTGCTGATCACCCCCCCTGGCCCGCCACCCCCCGCGCCACCGCTGCTGCTGGCAGCGCCTGCACTGTTCCAGCTCCCCCCAAAGCCGTTGGCTGGCATGGTTCCACTCAGCGACTTGGCGTGGGGCAGGGGGGAGCGCGGCGGGAGATTGAGGGGCTCTGTGGCGGATGGGGGGAAGCGCGCCCTGGCGGCACCCCAGGTGGGCGTGGCGGCGGGGGAGAAGGGAGCGCCTGCATCCAGGCGAGGAGACCGCATGCGCTCCTCACTCTCCCTCGCCCCGTCCCCCTCCTCTCCTGCCTCCCCTGCGCCTACTGCCACTCCACCACGAGCAACACCAGTCCCAGCGCCAGCAGCAGCGCCTCCAGCAGCAGCGCCCCACTTCCCCTTGCCCATGGGCCCTTTGCCACTGCTCACAGGCGCCGCAAGCGGAGTGGTGGCAGCTCTACCAGCGTAATCGCCCACGCTTCTTCCATGGCTCCTGGTGCCATCTGCATTCCAGCTGGCCCCTGCTGCTGCCGGCGCAGCTGGTGGCGGGGTAGTGAGGCCGGCGGCAGCATAGGAGGAGCGCAGCGCGTGCGTGGAGAGAGAGCGCAGCGCCACACGCTGCTGCCCCCGGCTGGCGCCGAACGGGGTGGCGCTGCCAGCTGCAGAATCGCCGTCAGTAAGAGCAAAAGCAGCGTGGGCGTGAGCAGCAGCAGGGCCTGGCGTTCCAAGCAGAGGGTTGGCGGTGCTGTCAGACCCCCATTGGGGTGGCACCGCACTGGTGGGGTTGGACGGCGAGGCATAGATGGGCAGGGACACCAGGCGACGCCAAGGCGCCGTAGGTGCACTTCCTGGTATTTCTGCTGCACTAGGATCTGCCATGCCCCGTGCCATTGCTGCTGCTGCTGCTGTTGGTGTTGCTGCGGTGGAGAAGGCTTCAAGAGGTCCCTGTGCCTCTTGCTCCCTCTCCTCCTGCACGCGTATTCTCTCCTTCTCCTCCCACTCCCACGCTTCCATCTCCCCATCGTCGCCACTCTCTTGTGCAGCGTCCACCTCTTTGTCTGCCTGCCCCTCGCCACCACCACGCCGCGCCTCACGCTCCTCCTCACCACTCACAGCGCAAGAGTTACCCCCTTGCTCCCCTCCCTGCTCCTTCTCCTTGTCCCTGCTACTCTCACAGCCCTCCAGATCTCCATTGTCGTAAGCCTTTTCCTGCTCAACTTCCCCATCTGCTATCATGACATTCTCACTATCCTTCTCCCTCTCCTTCACCTTCTCTTCCTCTTTGCCTCTCTCCTTCTCTTTCTCCTTCTCCTTCTCTTTCTCCTCCTTTTCCTTCCTCTTCTCTTTCGCTTTCTCCTTCTTCTCTTTCTCCTTCTCCTTCTCCCAGACCCGTGCTTCCCTTCCCCCCACGCCTTTGCTGCCAGGAGTACCCCCAAGGCCACTACCAGCGGCCATGCCATCCAGGTCGTTCAGAGCAGACAGCAGCTCGCTCATTGTCTTCCTGCCCGGCCTCCTGCCCCCAGCATCTGCCCCGCCACCACCGCCAGCAGCAGCAGCAGCGGGCGCGCCCCTCTCAGCGTCTGGCCCGCCCCTCATAAGCCCCACCACCTCTGACCGATGCCGCAACAAACGCCCGCTGCCGCTGCTGCTGCTCGCTGCCACGCCCCCACCCCCGGCCCCAGATGCCCCCGACCCCACACCCAGCCCTCTCGCACCGCTTGCTGCTGACCCTGTCCCGGGTGCAGCGGCCGCCCCAGCAGCAGCAGCATCAGGCGCGCCAGTGGCAGCAGCAGGAGAGGGCGTGACAGCCAGAACGGTGCTCCCCACATCGGTCTTGGCGCGCCCCACAGGCAGAGGCGGCGTGGCTCGTGCAACGGCGCCTCGACCTGCGCCCTGCCGCGCATCCCCTTCGCCTGCCTTGCCTCCCGGCTTGCCCTTGCCTGTGACATCATCTGCGCTGGATACGCGCGGCACCGTTCCCTTCCCCGCCTGCCCTGCTGCTGCTGCTGCAGCAGCGGCTGCGGGCGTGTGTGGAGCAGAAGGCACGTCTGCTGCTGCAGCAGCCATGTGCGTCTCCACTGAGGCCAGCAGCTGCATCAACTCCCCTTTCTCCACGCGCCTGCTCCCCTCGCGCTCCACTCGCCACGCCTCCCTGCCCGCCTCGCGGGCCCCATCCCCCACGCGCGCTGCAGTGAGGGCAAGCGGGCTGTGCCTCGCAGGGCTCAGCTTGGGACTCCTCTCTGCCCTGCCCTCGCCCGCGCCCACACCCTCTCCCACCTTCCTCTGCCCCGTGTGCCCCTCCTTATTGCCATCCGTCTCCCCGTCTTCCTCCACCGCCCGCCGTCCCTCGTCCTCGTCGTCCACGCCGCCCTCCTCCTCCTCCTCCTCCTCTCGCTCAAACCGCCTGCTCAGCGTGCGCCGGCCACGCAGCAACGCGCCAGCAGGCACAGGCAGCCCTAAAGGGTCGGTGAAAGGGCCCCCCTTGGCAGCGGAGCCCATGAGAGCACTCACGTCTGACGACCGCGACCGGGCTATCGAGCTGCTGCTGCTGCTGCCGCCGCCGCCGCTGCTTCCTGGCGCGCCTGTCCCTTTCTGCCTAGATGACGCCGTGCCACCTCGCCTGCCCCTGCCCGCTGCCACCTCTGTGAGCATTTCCTCGAATACCAGCCGCGCCACACTGCTGCGCTTCGTCATCAGCCCAGCGCCCCCGCCCCCACCAGCCCCCTCCCTGCCCCCCCCCCCACCACCACCACTGTTCCCGGAAGCAGAAGCAGCAGACGCTCCTACTGCTGCAGCAGCACGTGCGTCAGAGGCCTTGGCTTTCTTCTTTCCGGCGCGCCCCCTGCCCTTCATCTGCTGCTGCAACAGTTCCATAAGCTCTGACTTCTCCCCCCCCTTGCCTCCCCCCACCGCCGTCCCTGCGCCCTCGCCCATGCTCGCGTCCTCCCGCCCGCCCAGCCCTGCCAGTGCGCGGCTGCTGCTGCTGCTGCTGCTGCCGCCGTCCACGCCGCGCCTGCGCCTGCTGGCGCTGTTGCCAATGCTGCGCCCACTGCTGCGCAGCACAGCGCTGCCTGAGGGGGTGCTTGCACTGCCACCCACAACCGCCGCGCTGCTACGGGAATTACCTGCAGCAACGGCTGGGGAGGTTGCAGCTGCTGCTGCTGCTGCTGCTGCTTCTGCTGCTGCTGCTGCTGCTTCTGCTTCTGCTGCTGCTGCTGCTGCTTCTTCTGTAGCTGTTGGTGGTGCTGCTGCTGGCGTCGTTGGCGTGGGAGAGGACTGAGCACAAGCGGTAGGAGTGAGGGGAGTGGTACTGGGTGCAGTGGGGGTGGACTTGCCGGGCAGCGAGGGGGGCGCGCTGGTGAGGTTGCCACAGTGCTCCTTCAACCAGCGGTGATCTGGGGGGAGACAGAGATCACAGAGGAGGGAGGTAACGGGCTAAGAGGTAATGGCACGAGATGGAAGAGAAGGGGCAGAGAAAATGCAGGGAGAAGCGCAGTGCAGAGGGGTAGCAGCAGCAGCAGCAGCAGCAGCAGCGTTGTTGCACTCACTGAGCGCCTGAGACGGTGTGATGCGGTGGCGGGGGTCGAGCGTGAGCATGAGCGACACGAGGTCCTTTGCATCCGCCGACACGCCCTCCCACACGCCCGAGCTCATGTCCACGTGGCCCTTGCTGATTGCCTGGAAGATGCCGTCCTCGGAGGGCGCCCAGAAGGGCGGCAGGCCCGAGAGCAGGATGAAGAGCACGACGCCCACGCTCCACATGTCCGCCTCCACGCCGTACTGCGCTGCCAGCACCTCCGGCGCTATGTAGAACGCGCTCCCCGCCATCGCGCTCAGTGGCGCACCTGGACCGGGCAGGGGAAGAAGGGGAAGGGGGTTGGGAGGGGGGGAGGAGGGGGGGGGGGGTGGGGTGGGGTGTTGGAAAGAGGGCGGAACGGGTGGACCGGTGGTCGCAGAGGGAGGGGAATGGGATGGGTTGGGGGGAGTACGGCACACATCCCATGGCATGGCATGGCATGGCATGGGCGGGAGGGCACGCACCTGGCTGAACGAAGGTGGCGAGGCCGAAGTCAGCGATCTTGACGTCAGTGTGCGAGTCCTGCGACACGAGCAGAATGTTTTCGGGCTTGAGGTCGCGGTGCATGAGTCCCAGCGCGTTCAGGTGCGCCACCACGGACAGCAGCGTGTGGCACACCACGGCCGCGTCACTCTCGGGGTAGCGCTGGCGCTGCAGGATGCGCTGGTACAGCTCGCCGCCCAGACACACGTCCATGAGCAGGTGCACCCACTGGCGGTCCTCGAACGTGCCGCGCAGCTGCACGATCGCGGCGTGCCCGCGCACCGCCTGCATCACCGCCACCTCGCGCCGCACGTCCTCCACGTCGCCGTCGCCCTCCAGCTTCGCCTTGCAGATCGACTTGCACGCGAGCGTCTCGCCCGTCGCGCGCTCCGTCGCCAGCCAGATCACGCCGTACTGCCCGCGCCCCAGCTCCGCGCCCATATGGTAACGGTCGAACACGTTCTCGTATGCCTTGCCTAACACCTGCTGCGTGTGCTCCGCCTCCTCCCGCTCTTCCGCCTCCTCGTCGCTATCATCCGGATCCGATATATCCGGACTCGATAACGCGGATACTGCCTCCTCGGCCCGCGCGCGTTGGTGCTGCTGCAGCAGCGACTCGCCCGCCACGCCCTCGTGCGCCCCGCCGCTGCTGCTACCGCCGTGCTCGCTCCCTCCAACGCGCACACGCTCCGCGCTATCTGCGCTCTCATCGCCGCCGCTGCCGGTATCCCCGTGCCCCGCCGCACTGCCGTACGCGGCCGGGGAGGCAGCAGCGACGGGCGAGGCGAGGGTGCGCGGGTCAAGGGGCGATGATAAGGACGCGCGGCCAGGGGACATCATAGCCATCGCGGGGGGTGCCGCCCACCGCTGCGCACTAACGGTCACACTCACCGTTATTCCTCCACCACAGCTTCCGTCCCCCTCCTCCCTTGCGCGTAAAAGCTCGATTTCCTACTGCCAGCACCTGCGCCACCCACCGGCGCCACACAGGTCACCTCACTGCGCCCCTCCTGTATTCCCGCCCACGATCCCTCCCGCCCAACCCCACATGGCCCCTGCTGCCGCCGTCCTCCCGCGCTCACGATCCCCACACGTGCGCCGCGCCCTTGCTGTCTCCCGCCTTGCGCCCGCGAAAAACGCTCTCCGCTCCTCACGCGCACACGCATCCCGCGATAAGCAACGGCACGGGCTCAGGGCGTGGCGCGAATAGGCAAGAAGCGCACGAGAGATTGAATATAGGTGCCATGGCCGTGCGCGCACTACAAGGTTCTCCAGGTAAAGGCTTGAACGAGAATTACAACAGCCGATTACTTGCAAGAGGACTATAGTTGTCAAGCGCACATCCCATCAAAACCATTGGCTCTATACCTAATCTTCGCAACGGTCGCAAGCACACTTGGACATCAGCTGCGCGCAAGCTCAGTCACATAAGTTTGAACTATCGCTTCATAACGACCAGCGCACACACTGGAACCCACTGGGCCGTCACGAGAAAAGAATAAAGACGTTGCGGAAGGCATGTTAGGGTTGGTTGCAGTTGGAGGTGGCTCGGTAGGAGGTGAGGCTCGCTGCTGAACCTGTGCTGTTGGGGTTCGGGTGGGACTCCGTACGTCGCACTGTACACCACACATCGCCGCACCCCATCCCTCCTAAGCCGCTTCCCTGTGTGCAGCTCATCTCGCCTCCTCGTCACTCCACTTGCTGTTGCTGCTGCCAACGTACACCGAAGACCCCGATTGATATTATGCGTAAAACACACCTTTCCTGTAACTACTGTATAATCTGAATAGGTTCGTAGCATTTTGCGTTGTGGTGACCCCTCGAATACACGCGGTCGCCTTCAGCCAGCCACCCTGACCGAAAATTTAGGTGGTGCCGAGCCAAGCGCGTCAGTGCCGAGCCAGGCACGTTCATTCAACCTCTTGCCCCAAAGCAATTTCACCTTGTCGTTTGCTACAGTAATGCGTTGAAGGCACCCCGCGAGTTGTGCGGCCAGAGGCAGCGCCGACTGTTGGGAGTTTTCCATTCCAATGTCAACGTCGTACTTCACTACGGTGAAGATCGGTTCCCAGCTTGATTTTCAGATTGAGGTTTTCCGCCACTTTGGAAGGGGTGAAGGAACCATTGACGTTGTCAGCTCACCACCATTCCATGCCAAGTTACTTTTCAGCTTGCATGGTGCCATCCCCACCAAGCTTCCATAGGCAAAGTGACACCCACCAAGCATCTGGTATCACCCAACCTATCGCCCGAAGAAGCCATTTGGGGTATCCTGAACCTGTATTTTGGACGAAATGCAAGCGGAAGAATCCTGATTTCGGAACCGCTTCCTGGCCTGGAAATGCAGTCACTGGACGTGCAGTGGACGTGCTGCACAGGGAATCATCACCTCGCTTCCTCGTCGCAATGCTCTCGCGCGCTTCCCGCGCTCGCCTCGCTCGGCCGCGCGTTCACCCACTGGCCCTCCTCCTTCTGCTCGCAACCGCCCACGCGTTGACTCACTGTGAGTGCGCCTCGTACCTTCCCTTCCCTTCTCCACGTGTTCCTTTTCCGCTCACCTATCTTCCGGTCGACCTTGTCTGCTCGGATCTGATCCTCTCCCCCGTGTGTTCACCGCAGCGACATGCGTGGCAGCACCAGCCGCGGAGCTGGACGGGACCCACGTCACGCGCCAGCAACTGCGCAGCTTGGCGTGGCCGCAGCGCCAGGCGCTGGCGTGGGCGTGCGCGCGCTCCTCCGCAGCGGCGGGTGCGCGTGAAGCCGTGGGCGCGCGGAGCGGCAGCAGGCGGCCGTGGTACGCGGGAGTGGCGGTGGAAGGGCGGCGGCGGTTGAGCGGCGGGCAGCGGGAAGCGTTTGAGCGGCGTATGGAGGCGGAGCTAGCGGCCATGCTGGCGCGCCCACCCACGCGGACGGGCGGGATGGAGGGGCGAGGGATGGAGGAGGTTGGGGAAAGACAACAGCCCCGCGTTGGAGCGCGCGGCCTGACGTCCGCGGAGTTTTTGTTGGCGCGGCAGAGGGGGAACGAGCGTGGCGGAAAAGTAGGTAGCGGAGGAGCAGCGGGGGGGAATGAGAATTGGGAGAGGCGGCACGATATCGCTCAGCTGTGCGCTCAACTGGATGAGAGCCTGTCGTCGCGCGCTGTGGTGGGCGGGGCGGTGGCAGCACAAGAGCGAGAGGTGGGAGGGGCAGCACCACGCATTGAGGCCGCGGTGGGTGTAGCGCAAGGGGGGAGCAGCGACGGGTGGGCGCGAGAGAAGGCGGCGCTGGTGGAGTTCCAGGCAGCGCTAACACCGGCATCGCAGCGCGTGCTCAAGGAATGGTCGCTCACGTCGCTGGTGCCGCTGTGCCACTGGACCGGGGTGGTGTGCTCCAATGAGATAGGCCAAACGGATGCTGCTAACGGCACCACCACCACCGTTGCTGCTGCCGCTGTGACCGCTGTGAGCGGTGTGACCGCTGTGAGCGGTGTGACCGCTGTGAGCGGTGTGAGCAGCACCCCCAAACCCAACGCTGTGGTGGGTGTGGTGCTGTCGCAGCTGGGCCTGCAAGGCACCATCTCCTCCTCCCTCGCCTCCCTCCCCTCCTTGCAGTACCTTGTTCTCTCCGACAACGCGCTCTCCTCCTCCATCCCCTCCGCCCTCGCGCTCCTCCCCGCCCTCACGCTCCTCGACCTCTCCAACAACCAGCTATCCGGCACCATCCCCTCCGCCTTTTCCCGCCTCTCCGCCTTGGCCTCCCTCTCTCTCTCCAACAACCAGCTATCCGGCACCATCCCCTCCGCCTTTTCCCGCCTCTCCGCCTTGGCCTCCCTCTCTCTCTCCAACAACCAGCTATCCGGCACCATCCCAGCCTCCCTCGTGCTCCTCCCCGCCCTCACGCTCCTCGACCTCTCCATAAACCAGCTATCCGGCACCATCCCCTCCTCCCTCTCCCGCCTCTCCGCGTTGGTCTCGCTCTCCCTCTCCAACAACCAGCTATCCGGCACCATACCCGCCTCCCTCGGCGCACTACCCTCCCTCTCCTACCTCTACCTCAACGTCAATGCTCTCACCTCCTCCATCCCAACGGCTCTCGCGCGCCTCTCCTTGCTCTCAGAGCTAGCACTGGGCACAAACGACCTATCAGGCACAGTGCCAGCGGCGCTCTCTTCACTCACAGGACTAGTCATTCTAGACCTGGTCACCAACCGCCTCTCAGGAACGCTCCCCTCGCCCGCCTTCTCCGCGTGGTGCCGCGCTGCCTTCAGCATAGAGATCACGGGAAACGCCTTTTCCGGCCCGCTGCCCGACTTGACAGCGTGCACGGGGCTGGTATGGCTGGACATGGGCACGAACGGCTTCACTGGCACCATGCCGGAGTCTGTCAGCCACATGACCTCCCTGGAAACACTCATCCTCCTCAACAACTCCCTCACAGCCTTGCCGCCCGTAGCCCTCGCGTCCCTGCCCGCCCTGGGCCAGCTGGACCTCTCCAGGAACAACCTCACGGGCCGCATCCCCCCGCTCTGCGCGTCGCCCAGGTACACGCGCCTGCGCAGCCTGCGCTTCAGCGGCAACCGGCTGAGCGGGCGCGTACCAGCGTCGCTGGGCAGGTGCGAGCTGCTGGAGAACCTCTTTCTAGACGACAACAGCCTCTCGGGCTCCCTCCCTGCCACCTTCCGCCTGCTGCGCCGCCTGCGCCTGGTGCGTCTGGAGCGCAACAAGCTCTGGGGCCCTCTGCCGCTGGCGCGCCTAGAAAACATCACGGAGATCTGGCTCGACGGGAACTCGCTCTCCGGCCGCATACCCCCTGATCTCAGCTCGGCAGAGCGCCGCTTCATCTACTTCTCGGCTCCGCACAACCGCTTCAGCGGGCCGCTGCCGGCTTCTCTGGGCCGGCTGGTGATGCTGGATCTATCCTTCAACGCGGTCTCAGGCCCCATCCCCCGCGCCTTCATCGCCTCCACTGCCAACCTCTCCGTGCTGCTGCTCCCGGGAAACCGCCTCTCCGGCTCCATCCCCGCGCGAATCACCGCGCTCACCGCTCTCAAAACCCTCGACTTGAGCGGGAATGAGCTGGAGGGCGCCCTGCCGGAGAACCTAGCTGCGCTCTCGCTCCTGCAGGAGCTCTCCCTGGCTAGCAACAACCTCACAGGGGCCATCCCAGGAGACCTTGCGGCGCTGCCCGCGCTCGTGCGCGTTGACCTCAGCAACAACCGCCTCTCCGGGCCTATCCCTCAGTTCCTTGGTGGTGCCACTGCTTCTGGGGACAGCGGTGCTGGAGCTGCAGGGAGTGTCAGCGTGGCGCAGCTGCTGCTGGGAGGCAACGAGCTGTCCGGGTCCATCCCTGACGGCCTCTCCACACTCACACAGCTTGTCACCCTCAATCTCTCCACCAACCGGCTGTCGGGCTCGCTGCCCTCGGGCTTGTCAGGCCTGCAGCAGCTGTCAGTGTTGGACGCCTCTTGGAACGCACTCTCCGGCTCCATTCCTTCCGCCCTCTCGTCCCTCTCGTCCCTCCGCTCCCTCAACCTCTCCTCCAACTTCCTCTCTGGTCCGATCCCCGCCGGCCCACTTTCCGCCCTCCCCGTGGCTGCCTATGCCAACAACGCCGCTCTCTGTGGCCCCCCCACCAACGTCCCCTGCTCCCTGCCTCCGCCCTCCTCCCCTCCTCCGGAAAACTCAGTCGGTTTGCCAGCGGCGGCAGTGGCAGGCATTGTGGCAGCGAGTGTGTGTGCGCTGGCCGTGGTGGCAGCAGCGCTGTGTGTGGTGGGGAGGAGGAGGGAGGTGGAGAGGAGGAGGCGGCTGAGCGGGTACTTGCTGATAGTGAAGCAGGCGCCAGTGAGGGTGACGGTGGAGGGGATAGTGGAGGGTACCAAGAACTTCAGTGACAGCATGCTGCTGGGGAAGGGCGGCTTTGGCAGCGTCTACAAGTAAGCCTGGGGGTGTACGCCTCCCCCTATGTGTGTGGGTGGGTGGGATTGCTGAGAACATGTTTTTTATGATTGAGTGTGATGCCACCTGGTACGAATTGCAACCACAGCGTGCGAATTCTTGCTCACGTGACCACTGCACGACCACCATGCAGGCTAACTCCCTCCCGCATCACATCCTCTCCTCCCTTCACTCATGCCCCCCGTCCATTTGCCTTCCTCCCACCCCCCCCCTCTATGTGCGGCACACCAGGTGCAATGTGCCGGGCACGCAGTGCACGCTAGCCATCAAGAGACTCCATTCGTCACTGCCCCTGCTGCACTCCGCCTCTCCTTCCACCACGGCCGCGGGCAAGGGGAGCAAGAAGGGCAAGGGGGGCAAGGGGGTTTCCGGGGAGGAGGCGAGGGAGGCAGCAGAGCAGCAGGCGAACAAGGAGGTACAGGCAGAGGTGCGGACTCTGGGACAGCTAGAACATCAGAACCTAGTGCGGCTGTACGGGGCATATGTGAACGTGGCGGCAGGGGACAGGTGGCTCATCTATGAGTACATCGCTGGGGGCAGCTTGGAGGATCTGCTGAGGAGGAGGAGGGAGGCTGCACCTGGGGAGGGGTTTAATAAGTGGGAGGCGAGGCTGAGCATTGCAATGGGGTTGACTAAGGCGCTCAAGTATCTGCATCACGAGTGCTCGCCGTACATTATTCACCGCGACATCAAGCCGTCTAACATTCTTGTGGTGGAGTCCAGGGGCGGTCATGGGGGACAGGAGGGTAGTAGTAGTGACGGTAGCACGGTGGTGAGTGGGTCGGGGACAGGGAGTGGTAGTGGGCCGGGAACGGGGAGTGGTAGTGGGTCAAGAGGGATAACGGAGTCCGGCAGTGAAAATGCTAGTGGCAGTGGGACGGGGAATGATAGTGTGACAGAGAAGGGTAGTGGTGCAAATGAGAACAGTGGTAGTGGTAGCAGCGGTGCGTGCAGCAGCATCGACGGAGGTACCTACACAGCCTATGGCAAGCCACACAAGGTTGATGTGACGCGTTCAGCAGTCCCCAGTAGCATTGGCAACACCGCTGCGAGCGAGCCTGCAACATCAATGCGACCCAAGGCCATGTCAGGCAGCAACAGCAATAGCAACAGCATTATTGGGTCCATCCATTCAGCTGTGTCCACCACTGGCATCCGATGCCTCTTCCAACCCTCCAAGTCCGCACAGCCTCCCGCGCCCTCTGTCTCCTCCGCCCCTCATCTGCTTCACCGCGAGCCGTTCAAGCTTGACCCTCTCTCCTCTCCAGCAACCTCTCATCCCACCCCGTCCTCTTCAACCCAAGCATCTGCACCGTCACTGCCATCACCGCACCCCTCCTCCACCACCCTTTCCTCTGCATCCCTACCCACTGCCCAACACACGTTCACAGTACGAGTAGCTGACTTCGGCCTGGCAAGGCAGGTGGACGTGCGGGCATCTCACATGTCCACAGCCGTGCTCGGCACGTACGGCTACATGGCTCCCGAATACGCGCAGCGGGGGAGGGTCACCACAGCCACTGACGTGTTTGCGTTCGGGGTGGTGCTGCTGCAGCTGGTGTCGGGGCGATCGCCGTACGACGAGGAGGTGGAGGACAGGGGGCTAGCCAGGTGGGCCTTCTCCTCGCCCGTGTCCGCCGTGCTCGACCCGCTGCTGGGGCCCTCTGCGCCCACCAGGGCAGTGGAGGCGGTGCTGAGACTGGCGCTGCGGTGCACGGCAGAGCAGAGCCAGAGACGCCCGTCCATGCTGGATGCGTGGACGTATCTCACAAGCCTGCATGATGTGGTGGCGCACATGCAAGTCCAGGGTGGGGAGGGGATGGATTTGTCGCTAGAGCAGCAGGGCATGGCGTGGGATGCTGGGGGCGTTGGGTCTGGGTCGACTTCTGTACTGCCTGGGAGCAGAGCCGAGGAGGAGGATGACAAGGGTGGGAAAGACAGCGACGCGCACGTGAATGGGACAGGGTGAGGTTGGAAGCTGCTGTGGGGCTGGAAAGGCTTTTCTAGTACCTTGCAGGAAATTGCGTTGGTTCTGCAAGATGCAACTGTTTCCAATAGGGTTCGATTTTTCCACATGTTGCATGATTTTATTGACCCCCCTTCTAGGGTACAAGCAGCGACCCCCAACAGCTGCCGAGCCGACCGAAAAAAACTCTGTTCCAAGGCCAGCACAAACACGAAATTGACCCACCATATACCTGAAATGAAGAAAACGAGGGCAAATTCAACACACCGTCTAATCCAACCATGACTGCCTCGAGCATAAAGTATAACTCGCTGGCACGTCGCATGGGCTTTGAGAAGGGGCGCTTTGCCCCCCTATTGATAAAGTATCCATAGATTTTTGTTGACTCGCACGATCGGCTATCAGTTTCCGCGTCGCCGTTTAGCGAAGAAGCCTATTCCGACGTACATAACAGATCTAGAATGCGTATATTTTCCGGTTACAACGAAAGATAGAGTAAACGCTGTACTATTTTTTTCCGTTTCCGTTACTTTAACAAATGGTGTTCAAGTGCACAAATCTCATTTAATCTTACCGCGATATATTAAATATTGCACGTGCGTATATTTTCCGGTTACATACTATAACCTACTTCATCGTAGCGTATAAAAAGAAGACCGTTTTTAACCGTTCAGGCTTTGCGGTTCGTTTGTTGACAAATCATTTCCCGAAGAAAGATGTCCAGCCCGCCAGCCCGCCGAACCCCACGCTGGTTTCCTTGATGGGCTGCCTTCCCTAAGCAGAATCTCCGCACGACTTCGGTACCTCGTTTTGCGACAGCTTTCGTTTAGGCCGAAGTAGCTTACGCAAGGCGACTTGGCTGGAGAAATCACAGAAATTGAAGCAAAATTATCACCGAGAAAACATCCTAGTGGTGCTTCGCGCGCTCCTCGTGACCGTTCGCCTTTCGGTCCACTTCCCCTGCCTTAGCTTTCGTTCCCTCGCACGCTATGCGTCGTACGCGCTGTCAGATCCGGCAGGTGGTGACAGAGAGGGAGGAGGAGGAGAGGTCGCACAGTGAAGAGGGTTTTTTTTTTTTTTTTTTTTTTTTTTTTCATGGGGATTTTAAGAAGGCCTCTCGCGCGCCATCATCACCTAACAGATTTTCCGTGTCAGCAGATGCGTGATGTGCAATTTTGATGTGCGTGTTTTCATAAGAAAGGGGGAACTTAGGGCGCGTGTCTTTTGTAAAATGCAAAACTCGAGTTTTGCGTTGAACTTACGCAGTTTAACCTAGGTCGACCTAGGCTCAACAATATTGGTTGCTGTAGCCCGAGTCGCTGCTCCTCAACCCACAAGAACCAAAAGACACGCGAAAGTTCAACAATCGAAGTTGAACTTTCCCGAGTCGCGGTTAACCTACGTAGGTTACCCTGTTTTTGACGCGTTTTTGGTTTTTCTGTAACCCTTTTTCCGAAGTCTTTCGTGCGCACGAAATGTGCTACGACCGTCGCCTAGATTCGCAACTACCTAGTGCATTGTCAAGAGGACACACGAGTGAAATTTTGTGCACGCCTAGTTTCAACCGAAAGTTCAACCCATTCGTCATCTACAATGTTGTACTAGGACACACGACGCACAAGCGAAACATTTAGCGAGATTCGCGAATAAGGTTACCAGCAAAAGTTCCACCAAATTTTCGAACCTCTACAGCAAAAGACACGCGCCCTTATTGACCAAACTTATATAACCGTGCCAAGGTCTTGATCTAAGCTGGCCAGATACTACCGTCATCGCCCGGACATAAGACATATATGTCTTATCTCGTACACTGGCAAAAATGATTACGTTATCTTGTAAACGGGATGCTTCAGGGTGTCTTATAAATCTTATAAATGGAAACTTTTTAAACTACTTTTTAAATATTTTCTGTACTTCTTGAAAAAGAGTTCCTCATAATGAGTGTGGATGTTGCGAAGGTGCCACTTCGGCAACCACCGCGCTTCGCAAGGGTTAAAATGTACGCGTTATTTCAACTTTCGCTATAATATATTGAAGTTTCGATTATAAGACATATATGTCTTATCTCGTACACACAAATAGGTGTCTTATAATGAGGCTAGCCTGTTTATAAGAGACACCCGTATAGTAGACAACCCCTGTCTACTATTCAACACTGTCTTATATCCGGGCGTTTACGGTATTTAAACTTCTTCCACAACAACTAGCGATTATTTAGATACTCTAAAGGTAAGCATCAAGAACGACATACCCCAAACAGGTAAGAAAAATAGTCGTTTTTCCTGGCACCATGGTATGTTGCTGCTGCTGGTGAGTCTCGGTCCTGATAATCTTCAGAATAGAAGTTGTTGATCAATCTCTGCCTTTGTGACAGGCCCTGGAGAAGACGAGATTATCAGAAAATAATCAAATCTCATTCTGTGCATCAGCTGAAGAGAATTCATACCTCCAGACTTCCTTTCTACCGATTTATACTCCCCGCGCAGAAAACCTCCTCAATAAGTTGACTGATCACTTCCTGGAATGTGACAAGCACTTGATAAGGAATCTAAAGTGATCCATGAGGAAACATAGTGAAAGTACCATGCAAGCGACATACCCGTTGAGAGTTGATAACCTTATCTTTTTTCTTCAGTTTCTTTTCGAGCTCCTTATTGCGAGCAAGAGGAAACTCACGTTCCTTAAAGCCCGAGTTTCACATGGTATTTTTCATATTCAAGATTCTTGAAGTTGATTTCGTGAATAACCATGTTACCAGCTGGTTCAGAACAATCCGTCGGTTTCAAGCAGTAGAGGTGATCCGTGATTGGCCAGCGATAACCTAAAACAACCAGCAGGGAAAACGCCTCAGAGGATTGCACTGTTCACCTTGAGTAAACTTGAAAACCATCGGGAACGCTTGGACACGCATATTATGAGGCACGTAGTAGTCGTCCTCCCGTCACATACGGGCAATCGTCAGTCTAAGCGCTCAGTTCAAAGACACGAATCAGGGCCCTTTGGCGACTTGGCAAGCAACCTAACCGCGGCCACTATGTTTCCTCTTACGCAACCGCCACGTTCTCTCCTAGTGTCGTTGCAGCGACAAGTATTCTCAGACGTAGAAAGAAGCACACACTCGCGCGTCGCGACAGTATCCCTAGCCTTCCGCCTCCGCCGTCAATCTCTCCTAAAATAGACACACTCCGATATATTTTCTAGTCGTAGCTTATCGGTATGACAGCAACGCAACAGTTACGCGCGTCTCCTATCACGGTCGCCCTCGTATCGCCCTCACGCAATCATCACATTCGGCCCTATCGCCTTCTCCGTACCCTACGCACATGGATTACCGCGTAGCGGCCGCTGTAGCCGGTTCTAGAGGGTCCTCCGCCTTTGCCGCCGGAAATTTAGGATTTTCCGATGTCGGAATTTCAGCCGTAATTGGAGCGGATGAGGGAACCGTATGGGCGATTCGTGGACGTTCAGGAGCATTCCACGTGGGAGTTGGTCACTGGGGAGGCACCCGGTGCTGACGTGGACAGCGAGGGGAGAGAGGAACGGAAAGGGAAGGGTATTTTAGCATCACGGTCAGAAGGTCAGGGTCTAGCAGCGTGTCTCAGAGAAATACCCCCGGTGTATTTCGACGAGCATTCTGCTCTTGAGCGGAAGGAGATTTTTTATACGGTCTGCCCGTCTCCCTCCATTGCCGCGAATATGCTTCTACAAGAGAAACTATCTCATTACTTAGACCTAGTCGAGGTGCACTTAGTTAAAGAAATCTCTTCCCGCTCCGACTCGTTCTTCGAAGCCCTGAAAAAACTGGAAGATCTGAACCGTGGGATCGTGGAGACGTGCGATCGCATCCGTCAGTTGCGCGGCACAGTGGGGATGCTGGACGAGGACCTTCTGGAAGGATCGCGGAAGCTGCAGGCGACCAAGGTTCGGCGGGAGAATCTGCTGCAGCCGCATCAGAAGCTGAAGCTAGTGGCGTTCGTGCACCAGGCCATGGCGACGCTGAAGCTGGTAAGACACAATTTTATGACGGCTAGAGAGAAGAGAATTAGGTTCCCGGCCGTCTTGCAGGACTGTAGCTGGTGGCGTTCGTGCACCAGGCCATGGCGACGCTGAAGCTGGTAAGGCGCAATGCGGTAAGGAGCCATCCCATCTCATGAGGTGGTGTCATGGAGCGACCTTGTGGGCGCGTTGGCTGTGGCGGACAGCCTCAGACGCCTCATGGAAGGCACTGATCTCACTGGGTGCTCGTGGTGCTGCCTCATTTGGTGCTGGCTCGTGATGATACCTAATGCTGCTGCCTTGTGCTGCTCGCTTCCTGACCTCTAAGCCTCCCTTGCTGCCCCACACCCCACCATCCCACTGTGCGTGCCGATGCCTCGGCTGGTGTCATCGGGGGACTGTGCGGGTGCGCTAGACGTGATGGACGACCTCAGGCGCCTCATGGACGGCCAGGAGCTGATGGGTGCAACCCCGCCCTCTAACTCTTCCTTCCTGCCCCACACGCACCACCCCACCATGCATCAGCTGGTGTCGTCGGGCGACTGTGCGGGCGCATTAGACGTGATGGACGACCTGAGGCGCCTCATGGAGAGGCAGGAGCTCATGGGTGCAACCCTGCCCTCTAACTCCTTCCTGCCCCCCCACGCACCACCCTACCGTCCATCAGCTGGTATCATCGGGCGACTGTGCGGGCGCGCTAGACGTGATGGACGACTTAAGGCGCCTCATGGATGGGCAGGAGCTCGCAGGGCAGCACTGCTTCCGCCACCTCAACCACCTCCTGGTGTCCTCCTCCGATGCCGTCAACAGGTGAGTCTCTCTTTCTCCCACTCCTCCCATTCTCGCCTCCCACTCTCACATCCCCCTCTTCCACCCACCCTCATATCCCTCTCTGCACTGCTTCCGCCACCTCAACCACCTCCTCCTCACCTCCTCCGATGCCGTCTACAGGTCGGTCGGTCTCTCTCTCTCTTCCCACTCCTCCCCCCCACTCGTATCTCGCCCCACTCTCCCCCCCCATGGCGGGGCTGCACTGCTTCCGCCACCTCAACCACCTCCTCCTCTCCTCCTCCAATTTTCTAACATCCATCCCCTATACTCTCCAACCCAACCCATTCCCGCCATTCTCCCAGTCTCCTAACAGCCGACTTTGTAAGGGAAGCCGTGCACGATGCTGCTGACGTGGCGCCTTCCGCTATAGTCACCAGCTTCAACCTCCAGAAGAGCGTACCCCCCGCTGAAACGCTGCTCGCTATAGTCAACCTCGAGGTGCGTGTGCGGAAAATGCATGCCTATGGATGCAAAGCGTGATCTCTGTCGCACAAGATTCAGCGCTGTACTGGCATGGCGCGCTTCAGAGCTTCAGAGCCAGTCGCCCGGGCCTACCTGTGGTTGTGTTGTGTCATAGCAGTTGAGGTGTGAGACGTTGCTGTCAGTAGCTGGCTGGCCGCACAGGTCTGTGATTGCTTCTTGTTCCTCATCCTCCTGTGCTCCCTGCCATGCCTCCTGCCTGCCTCAGTTCTGTATCTTGCTCCGTTTCTCGCTCCGTGTTTTTGTGTCTGCTCCATCCATGCCTTGTCTCGCCCCATGCATGTCTGTCGCATGCCTCGCCCGCCACGTGCATCCCTGGTGCATGCATGGATCCCAACCCGTTGCATGCCCAACTCATGCCCCGTCCATGCCCCATCCATGCCCCATCCATGCCCCATCCATGCCCCATCCATGCCCCATCCATGCAACATCCATTCCCCATCAATGCAACATCCATGCAACATCCAAGCCCCATCCATACCCCATCCATGCCCCATCCATGCCCCATCCATGCCCCATCCATGCCCCATCCATGCCCCATCCATGCCCCATCCATGCCCCATCCATGCCCCATCCGTCCATGCAACATCCGTGCTCTGCCCATGCCGGGCTCAAGCAGCGCGAGGGCATGGAGGAGAGGGAGGCTCGCCTGAGAGAGCATCTGCTGCCGCTCGTCATCAGCCTGCTGCGCACAGTGAGTACGGGGCAGGGGTCAGGGGTTCGAGTGTATTACTTAGAGTTTGGGGGTTAGAAGTTAAAACACTGGCTCTCATAAGAAGCGGGCATGCAGAGTGAACGGATGAGCGAGAGGGAGGCTTGACCCTGAGAGCACCTACTGCCACTCTTCATCAGCCTGCTGAGCACAGTTGGCGTTCAGGGGAGAAGGGGTAGGTTTAAGGTTTGGGGTGTGCTGAGATGCAGCGAGAAGAAGCTATAGGCCGCCTGGGACGACCTTCCATCACCTTGTTCCCCCCTGGCCCTTCACCCACTGTCTCCCACCCTTTCATCCCCCACCAGTCCCGTCTGCCTGCAGTGCTGCGCGCGTATCGAGATGCAGTGAATGCGGACATCAAGGCAGCAGTGAAGACGGTGGTGGGCGAGCTGCTGCCGCTGCTCTTCCCCCTAACCCCCATCCGTCTCTCACCCTTTCATCTCCCACCCTTTCATCCCCCAGTCGCGCCTGCCGGCAGTGCTGCGGGCCGACAGAGACGCAGTGAATGCGGACATCAAGGCAGCAGTGAAAACAGTGGTGGGCGAGCTGCTGCCGCTGCTCTTCCTGCAGCACGCCGCCGCCGCTGCTGGCGGGGCCGCGGGTGGTGCAGGAGGAGAGGGGGGTGAGGCTGCAGCAGATGCACTTAACGGTGAGACACGTGGGCTGTGGTGGATGGAACGAGGGGGACTGCTAGCTCTCAAAGAGGAGCGAGCCTGCAGCTGATGTGCTGAATGTGAGACACACGGGCCGTGGGGTATGGAACAAGGGGAAGGGGCTGAATGTTTTCTCTGAATTGTCAATGACGATGGGAAGGGGACGAGCCTTGCCCTGAACAATGAGAAATGCTGCAGCTGTGAGGGAGCAGTGGAGTCGTTTTCTTACAGTTGTCACAGGGGAGGGGAAGTTAGATCAGCCTGCTGCTGATTAGTTGTGTCTCCTTTTCATGCGAATGAGGTCTCACACCCACTGTCTTCCACCTGTGCAGCCTTCCCCCAACTATCTATCAGATAACACATCCAGTCAACCCTCACCGTCCGTCCACCCTCCTATGCCAACTGAACCCCCCTTCCCCTCTTTCTGCCCCCCTCCTCCCCATGCACCCCCCACCCAGCGCCATCTCTCGCCCTCAAGCTCCGTGCCCTTGCCCCGCCCGCCTTCGTCCACTTGCTGCTGGCCGTCTTCTCTGCCGTCCAGACCCGCCTCGTGACGGCGGCAGCCGTTCGGAACGTAGTGTCCAGCATCGCCACTGCCGGAGCTGCTGCCGGTGCTGCAGCTGCCGCCGCCGAGCCTGCCGCATCCCCCCATCCTCTCATCCCCCTGTCCTCTCATCCCCCTGTCCTCTCATCCCCCTGACCTCTCATCCCTCTGTCCTCTCATCCCCCTATCCTCTCATCCCCCTGTCCTCCCATCCCTCTGTCCTCTCATCCCCCTGTCCTCCCATCCCTCTGTCCTCTCATCCCCCTGTCCTCTCGTCCCCCCATCCTCTCATCCCCCCGTCCTCTCATCCTCCTGTCCTCTCATCCCTCTTTCCTCTCACCCCCCCCGTCCTCTCACCCCCCCGTCTTCTCATCCCCCCGTCCTCTTATCCCCCTGTCCTCTCATCCCTCTTTCCTCTCATCCCACTGTCCTATCATCCCCTCGTCCTCTCATCCCCCTGTCCTCTCATCCCTCTTTCCTCTCACCCCCCCGTCCCTCACCCCCCGTCCTCTCATCCCCCCATCCTCTTATCCCCCTGTCCTCTCATCCCTCTTTCCTCTCATCCCCCCGTCCTCCTATCCCCCTGTCCTCTCATCCCTCTGTCCTCTCGTCCTCCATCTGTCCTCTCATCCCTCTGTCCTCTCGTCCCCCTGTCCTCTCATCCCCCTGTCCTCTCATCCCCCTCCTCTCATCCCCCTGTCCTCTCATCCCCCGTCCTCTCATCCCCCTGTCCTCTCATCCCTCTTTCCTCTCACCCCCCGTCCTCTCATCCCCCTGTCCTTCATCCCTCTTCCTCTCATCCCCCCGTCCTCCTATCCTCCTGTCCTTTCATCCCTCTGTCCTCTCGTCCCCCTGTCCTCTCATCCCTCTTTCCTCTCACCCCCCCGCCCTCTCACCCCCCCGTCTTCTCTTCCCCCCGTCCTCCTATCCCCCTGTCCTCTCATCCCCCTGTCCTCACCTCCCTCTGTCCTCTCATCCCCCTGTCCTCTCATCCCCCCCTCCTCTCATCCCCCCGTCCTCTCATCCCCCTGTCCTATCATCCCCCCATCCTCTCATCCCCCTGTCCTATCATCCCCCCATCCTCTCATCCCCCTGTCCTCTCATCCCTCTGTCCTTTCATCCCCCTGTCCTCTCATCGCCACCGCACCTCCTCGCTCAACAGAGGACAATGCACTGATGTGGATGGAGACTGGGGGTTGTCCACCTACAACACTACTTGTTGGCTCGTACACCATATGATGACACTCAATTTTATCACCATCCACTCTCACTGCAGGAGAGCTTATGTTGTGCCATTCTTGAAGCCAGGACCTTTGAGGCAAACATGTATGGTGGACAAGTGCTCATTCGAATACATCTGGATTCCAAAATTCAATATAAAATCCTTTATACATGCATACGCCTGCTGTTGTGACGTGAGCCACTTGACACACACGCGTGCTAATTATGCTTTGTCAAAAGGTGCAACCTGTTGCTGCCAAAATCATGCAGGTAGGAGGAGGAGTATCTCTAGGCTACGTAGGCTCATTTGTGTGGTGGTAATGTCTTGTATGCCGTGAAAATTCGCAACAACGGCAGAAATGTTCCGGACACCCGATGGATCTGCAGTACTGTGGAGCAAAGCATGGAAAAGTAATGCAAATAGAGACGAATCATAATGAGAGCACCACGTTGGGAGCAATAAGGGGCCACTGCTGACCTTGAAAGATGTTGAAACAACGTCCATGCGGCTGGTTGAACGCATGTGTGGGGAGGGGTGTGAGGCATGGGCAACATTGGTGCCATGATAGTGAAACGAGCACATAAAGATATATCAGTGGTTGTAGTATGCATCAAGGGTAAGAAACGCGAAGGCATGGAATCGGATGGAGTAGGACCAGCCTGAATTTTGTTGCAAAGGGGATAATTGGGTAGTATCACAATGCAAGCTAAGTAGGCAAAGACGAACGAAGGGTTTACAAAAGATTCCAGATGGTAAACGATAAATCACTGGTTTGCACTTGACTTACGCTGTCACATGTGCCGTTGATTCAGATGATTGATGGCACTCGCACCTGTCGGTGGTTGAGGTTGTGCTCGGAGGGGTCCACGACTCGGCTGACATCAAAGGGCGCCAAGGCCTCCTTTGGGGTCAGGCGCGGAGCCACCACCATGGCCCTCTACTCGTATGGCACCAACTCCACACCAGTGGTCTTCGCCAAATGCACGTCCAGGAGCTGAGAAAGCAAGGTTGGAATGTGAGGGGAAAATAATGCTCTATGATTGACTGAGGTGGAGGGTTTAGAATGACTAGACTGGGGAGTTGAAGCACGAGGGCGTGAGATGGGCAAGCAAGGGAATAGGATGGGAGCAGGGGGCAAGGCTGGGAGAGGGCACACCAGGTCTGAAAAGGAAGATAGAGAGGGAAAAGCGAGAGATGCACATGTTATGGGTGCGAGCAGCAGTTATATGGACAAGGATGAGCACTATTACCCTCAAGGCGCACACCGGCATCGCCGACATCCAAATTGACGCGTCGTGTTGGACAAACTGGTGATTTGGATCCTTCCCCGGATTTGTAAGTGCTTCCAACACGTTTACCGAGGATGGTTGGTGGCATCACCTGCAACATGATCGCAAGAGGGAAGCGTCAAAATATCTTACATAAGACAAGAGTAAGGGTTGGTGAGAATGTGGTACAGATCTTACATAAGATACGGCGCCCAGCACCGCGCGTCGAAGTAGTGCCGCGGACTATGCCACCTTCTCGCACAGGAGTAACCGGCCCAACAACAGATAGGTGTCGCCCTCCACAAGGTAAGTCGACAGGATGTTGCGCCTGCCTCTTCGGGGCCGTCTCCATAATCTCATCGTCGACTCCAAATCCCAGCGATCGTTGCCAATCCTCCATAATCCGATCAACCCAAGACCAATCCATAGGTCCGAGGGTTCGATCCTTATTGCCCCGTCGCACCCGAGTTACTTGCCGTACACGAGTGCGATACGATGTGACCAGCCTGTCCATCGAGTTATTCCAATGCAGGACAGCCAGCCCCACTCGTGCCTCAAGACTACCTTTGAAACTGATACGCTTAGCAGCGTATTTGATGATCAGGGAATGGAAAGACTCGTTTATGGAACTGTTGGCTCCGTGAACATAGGGTTTCACCTTGTCTGGCGAAAGCCGTTTCTTGAACCATGCAAGAACCGCCTTGTGCGTTTCCGATCCAGGCTCATAAAGTGCACATTCCCTGCCCCACTTCTCGGTAACACACCTTGGAGGAATACTCCCGTTCCGTCCACACTCGGAGTGGTCACCTGCCCAGTGGTTAGGTGCCGTCCCAATTTCCCTAGCCACATCTTCGGGGGTCATAGGGGTGCCCGCTTTCAACAGCGCCGCGCAACGCATCATCACATGGAAGAAATGCGAGGCGAAGCGCTGCGCCACCGTACTCTCCTCATTGCCTGCGTTTATCTCATCTCCGCCACGTTTCCGTTTTCGCCGCCCAGTCCAATGGGGCAAATTCTCTCCGACGTCACTTCCCTGATTGTCGGTCTCACCTGCTACACCATCGTTGTTGCAGCCAGTCATCGTCTCTGTCATGTCAAAACGAGCAGTATGAACAATTTTAGGAAACAAGCGGCGTACTCCAATCTGAATATGGCAAGGAAACTAAGTTTCACAAAGCGTTCATACCAGTAGCTTCATCAACGTTGGCCCACGGAGTCGTCCCGCCGATGAATCGTAAGTTACTGCATGCACCCGCATGTGCGTGCACGATGAGAGAACTAGCCAATGACGATGGTCTCGCACCACGCACAGGATGGACATCGTATTGCCATAACTCCTCCACATCCGCCCACTGCACATCAACTTGGGTTGTGCCCGCATCCGCCTCGTCAACCGCATCATCTCGCACGATGGGCTGCATCTCTCCAGTAGTATCAGGACGCACCTCGCCATATCCCACTGGGACATCTACCACTGCCCGTTCTCCTCCCAGCTGCCGGACTTTTCGCAACTCAGGAAACATCCACTTCGCTTCATCAGGGGTCATCTTCACATATGCAATGGTACCCATGGCTTCACATACCGCCTCCACAAGTGATGCTTTGAGTGTCCCCTTCGCCTCTTTCTCCAATCCTTTGGTCCTCAACCACTGCCTTAAGTCTTCCACCTTAGCCAACCATAGCTCCTCGATACAGCTAGCCTTGTCCACCTCCACAGCCTTCCGCACCTGATCCTGAAGCTCCTTGCAGAAAAGATTGTACAGCGTCCGTTTCACGTGCCACCAATCCACTTGATGATCCAGCTTTCGCTCTGCCGCAGCGCCTCTAAACGTGGTCCCTTGATCCGAAATGATGCCCTTCACATCGAACCCCAACAGCTTCAACTCATCAACCCCTCTGTCGAATGCCACCCGCTCCAATCGCACCGACGATTTATCATCCACCCCTTTACGTGTTGTTACACAGTACAAGATCTTCCGCGACGGTATGTCCATGAACGATACTGTGCACCACTCACCCTCTCGGACATGTGACCATCGGCCATCCACCGTCACGTATTCGGCTGGGATGTCACGTTTGCTCATCTCCTCCCGCACCGAAGCCATCGACTTATCCGCCTCCCTAAGTATTGTTTTCCATAACCCATTATCGCCCCCAAGGTATCGATAGAACGTGCTTTTGCCAGGACATGGAATGCCAAAATTGCGACTGAACTCCCACATCTGTTGATACCCCATCCCAGCGAGCGCGAATGCTCCCACATATTTTGAGTGTAGCATTGGCACTCGTGCACCAACCCCAACTCTCTTTTTGTCAAGGGTTTGATTGGTGCACGACCAGAACTCCACACCATGGGAACACTTATCGCATCTCCAGAACATGCCAACTGAAGCCCAAGAAAACTTCCACGACCTGAGAGACATAGCACCTCCGCATGTATCTTGATGCGAGCACACTAAGCGACACCCCTTGAAGAACCCGACAACGGTACGTGGTTCGACTAGACATACCCGTTGCTCAGGGATATCATCAACGCTTGGTGATGTAGGCCAATGCCTGGGGACTGTCCCGCGCGCGCTCGCGCGTGGATGGCTGCAAACAGGCCTTACGAGGGGTATAGAAAAAGGACACAAATAATGAGCGTATGGTTGACGTGGAAGTGTAAGGAGCCTAGGTGGGACCAGATGATTTTATAAGGTTGTAACATGAATTCCAAATATGCAGTATATCAACTGCTCACCTGTCCTCTGGCATGCCATTCATCGTGCTCGGTGGTGCTGTAGGCAATGACATGCTGCCACTTGCATGAAGTCCACACCCCGCAGGCAAAGGAGGCACGAAAGGAGTAGAGGGTATGCCTTCAACATCACCACCACCCCCTACGGGCAAAGTAGGCACGGAAGAAGTAGAGACCGGGCCTTCGCCATCACCACCACCCCCGACGGGCAAAGGAGGCACGGAAGGATTAGACGAAGCCGTAGCATTCTCCACCCCACCATCGTCCGTAGTGCCGCTACGAGCAGCGCGCTGTGCATTACCTGCACTTCAGCAATAGTGGTATGATAAGTGGTTGTGGGCGTTGGGGCGACACGTCATCATGAGATAGCATCACCCGTATTCGGCTATGTAGCATGTTTGAAAGGCATTACCTCCTTGGCGTTGTAGAGCAAATGCCTTCCCGCGTCTTGCTCCTCCCCAAGACAAGCCCTCCACACGCCTTGGTCTCCCGCGATCATCTAACCGCATAAGCGGAAAGGCATATCTCACACCAAGCAGCTCCCGATCCGGCCGTTGTAATAAATCAGTGACCTTCTCGAAGGGCACTTGAGCGTGGGCCTTGAAAATGCGATGGTACTCTTGGCGGTGCAACTCGACCGTGGCGCCCGTCTGTGAGCGTCCAGACTCAGCATCTGTGAGGGATGGGAGTTGGGAGTGAAGGCAGAATTTGAAATAAACGTCATAAATTGTGGGTGCGAGGAGACGGCTGATGAGGCCCTTGGGCCCCTTGACCAGCGCTATGGTGGGGTGCTGGGGTGAATGGGGGGGGCAACGATGAGGGATGGGGAGCGTGGCGAGGTGGGAATAAGACAAACAATGCAGGACAGACGTCATTGAATTTGGGTGCGAGGAGGCGGCTGTTGAGACCCTTGAGACCCATGACCAGCGCTATGGTGGGGTGCTGGGGTG